TGCTGTCTGTATTCATTTTCTACGGCTGCTGGAACAAACGACCGTGGATTAATGGCTTGAAACAACACGCATTTATGTTACAGTTCGATAGGCCAGGTGCCCAAGACGGGTCTCCAGAGGCCAACACGAAGATGTCAGCGGGGCTACGTTCTCTCCTGGAGGCCTCTGGGGAGGCTCTTGTCTTTTCCAGCTTCCAGAGGCCCACCCCCTCCTGTGCCCATGGCCTCTTCTCTCTCCAGCAGTGGCCGATTGAGTCTCTCCGGCACCCCGTCACTCAGACACTGACTTTTTCTGCCCCATCTCTCACACCCCAGGGCCCTTGTGGTTACGGTGGGCTCAGGGACATTATTCTGCCGACCGCTCTACCCTAGTAACGGGTTCCTGTGTCAGGAAAGGGAGACTTTGCCATTCCCGTTCATCAGGAGCGGATCAGTGCGGCAGACTGCTGGCCCCTATGTTGTTCTCCTTTTTATACTTACTTTATTTCAGAGAGAGAGAGAGGAGAGGGGCAAAGAGAGAGGGAATCTTAAGCAGTCTCCACACGCAGCGAGGAGCCCGGATGTGGGGCTCGATTCCGCAACCCTGGGATCATGACCTGAGCCGCAATCAAGAGTCTGACGCTCAACCAACTGAGCCACCCAGGCGCCCCGTGTTGTTTTCCTTTCTTCCCTCTTTCAGATAGGAATTGCTATCACGGTTGCTCTGCAGTCTGGAGTGATGGCGTGGGGGCCACATGTTGCCTGCCGGGTCTTAAGGACACATCAGACTCCGACGGAAAAGAATATAAATCACCCAGAGATTCTAACCTCACCAATTATATGAGTCTTTCACTTGTCTTCCGTTTGGAGAAAGGAAAGAGAAGGGCGGGTCTTATTTTGTATTTGACTAAGGGCATGTGTGGCTGTCAGTCCATCCCAGGGATGGACGGTCATTATTTTTGCCATCAACGTCATTTCCCCTTTTATTCTGGTAACAGCACTCTGCTTTTGCTTTAGGGCCATCATCTATGTCAGCCACTGTCCCACTCCTTGGCTCATGTGTTTCTGAGTGTGTTGTCCTCACCCCCCAGCTCCAGAGCTGGCTGTGGGACTCAGGCCTGAGCAATCAGACCATCGCATTTTCCACACCACAGGGGGCTTGTTCAGGGTTGGACTCGTGGCCTCAGAACCAAGAAGGTGGAATATTTGAATAGTTGTGGGGGGCAACTGAGAGAGGGTGCTCTCTCTGCCTCTCTCTTTCTGGCTGGATCTGAATCTGGAACATAGCTTCACAGTCATCTTTCCGCCACGTAAATCCTTTTTTTTTTTTTTTTTGCTTAAGCCAATATTTGTCACTTTATGTGTCATGGGACAGTGATTATAAATAATAGGAGCACTTCGTTGGCAGCACAGTTAAGTTAGCGTCTGACTACAAAGTCCGCGATTTACATGATCCCGTGGTTCAGGCAGCGTGGTGGCCTGGGCTGATGGCTCAAACCTGGAACCTGTTCCGATGCTGTCTCCCTCTTTCTCCTGCCCCTCCCTCGTTCATGCTCTGTCTCTCTCTGTCCCAAAAATAAATAAACGTTGAAAAAAAAATAAAAAAATAAATAATAGCCTTACAATACTTTATCATTTACAAGGAACTTTTATATCTGTGACTCCATTCAATCATCACGCAGGCGTGACCTACCAGGTGGCTCAGTCGGTTGGCGTCTGACTTTGTCTCGGAGTGCATTGATCTTCTTGAGTTCAAGCCCCGTGTCCAGTTCTGTTTGACAACCCACAGACTTCCGGATTTACTGTGTCTCCATCTCGTCCCTCCCCCACTCACACTCTGTCTGTCTCTCTAAAAACAAATAACAAAAAAAATGTAACAATTACTAAACTGAAGTAAGGATTACCAGCTTCTGTGCATATGGATGAAAACTGAGTCTGAGGGAGAGTTGATTTGATTTGTTCATGGTGCAGTAGTTACAACCAAGTCAAGATTCCCTAAGTTGAAACTTACACTTTCTCCTCTCACCTTCCTTCTAGAGAGGCTGAGGAATCAGGAAGCAGTTCTGGGACAAGGCAGAGTTTGTGCTGAGCCTTGAAGAATGGGTAGGACTCCATGAGAGAGAAAGTGGGGAGAAGAACATTGGCCAGAAGAAGCAGGTGTGCTAACCCTGGGATAAGTGTGTGTGATGGAGGGTGATGCACTACAGGTCAGGGCAGGCTGCAGCCTGCCCCGAGAGATAATATAAGGGCACTTGAGATGTCTGAGGCGATACTGTGAGCACAGAGGCAACCCATGCAGATGGTCAGAGGCCCACCCGTGATATATGCAGAGAAGACATCACACACTGTGGCGTGATGCTACTTTGCTCAGTTTCCGGAGGCAACCCCTCTGTGTCAGATCTGGGCGAGGGAGGGGTCTGCTGTCGTCTTAGCTTGAAGTCAACAGCCTGGGCCTGCATATAGCCCTTCTGCTTCCAACACGTGTGACACTGGGCAACCTACTTCACTTTTCTGAACCTCTGTGTGCCATCCGGAAGTTACAGAGTGTGGTGACGGCTCACTATAATGCAAGTAAAACACTGAGCAGGCACCCTGTGAATGGTCACTGTTAGTGTGACTGTCCTCCCCCTCCTCCTCCTCCTCCTCCTCCTCCTCACCCCGGTGGGCCCACTTCTTCCATTCTTGCTCCCAGTACAGCCGACGGACCAGCAGCCTGATTCCTCTCCCTGATGTCTTTTGGGCCTGGATGTCTGTTCCCCGCAGCTTTGAGCTTGGAGTCTGATTCCATGCCTGCAGAAGGACATGTCGAGTCCTCTGACTCAGGGATATTGCGATTCTTACCACAACTTCAGCTCATCCCGTATCCTTTCGAGTTCATCCCCCCTGCTCTGTTCACTTCTCACAGGACGGGCCCGGATCTGTCTTGGTCAGCATCCTACTCAGTGCCTGGTGTATAAACGAGGCCCCCTAAATATTTGCCGAGAGAAAGATCGAACGAGTGACCCATGATTGAACTCTCAGAGTGAAAAGGCAGCAACACCTCGGCCATGGATTCCCGGGGAGGCCCCCATTGGCGGCTTGTAGAGCTCCTCCTGGCAGCTCTCTGAGACTAGGAGGATTTATCCCCATTTTAGAGTTGAAGATACTGAGGCTTACAGAGCCTTGCTCACGATCGGCCCTCTGGTAAGTGGTGGACTGGGCGTCGATCCAAGATCTGTGACCAGGGTCCCTCTCTCAAAGCCCATCCGACGCTAATTTCCATGCCCACAGATCTGCGTGTTTATTTTCATCTGAATGTTTTATTTATTTCACCGACGATTGCTGTCTGCAATAGAGCTTTTGTTCCGTAAGACGGTGTTGGGCAAACCTAGAAAAAGGGGCGAGCATTGTGGAAGTGTTTTCCAAAGTTATGATGGAGGACGGTATCGGGATGCCAGCACCTACCATTGTTCTCAAAGACCCTGATGGAAGTCATTACACAAGCAAGCTGCTAACCTGTAAGCAAATGTGTCAACTTACCAACAATCAAGTAATTCCCCGATCCTTGTTGGATATTAGCCAGGGGCTGGATATCAGCCAGCTGAATGAGTTGCACAACACTCTCCCTGGAGGGGGATTGTTGGATGGGAGGGATTTTCCAGCTCGTGACTTGGATGAACCTGGAGTTATTTCCCCATTGAGCAGCTCCAGCCTGAGAGGCACCAGCAGCCTCGGCTGAGGGTGGCTGGGACAGAGCTGGGGAGTGGGCCAGCCCAGCCTGTCCACGCCTGGCCCGATGGTGTAGCCCTCGGAAGGCTCAGTAGGATTCGGCCTACACAGCAGCCCAAAAGAGCCCCTGGAAACCCAGCAGCTGGGTCGGTAGGGGGCTGGTTTCGAGGGAGACAGTGTACCCACTGCCCGGCAGGCACAGGGCCGGAGCCTGACGAGAGGCCAGAGCCGCAAAGGAGGAGACCCCGGCCCTTGGAACTGAAGGGTCCAGGGTGGGGGAGGAGAACACCGTGTGGGAAGAGGGCAGGAAGGGGGATTTGGCACAGGCCTCTGCTGCCTGGTCTCAATTTACTTGTGAGGAGCCTCCTAATAGCCGGGTGAGAGCCGTGCACGCTTTCCTGAGAGCCTGCTAAGTGTTTATGGAATGATTTGTGAGGAGAAGTTTCTTTGGAAGCAGCTTGGGGAAGGTATGTTATTAAGAGCTCTCTCTCCAAGTTCCCGTTGGCCCGCTTCCCCCCAGGCCCCTGGGGTCTGGGCAGCCCATGGTCACAGCAGCTGTTTGCTATTTTGTAGACCATGGGGCCAGGAGTGTATTGGGGCTGGGGGAAGTCAGGGAAGTGGGGCAATTTCCTCTTCCCTGAGGTGGCGTCATGCCGCAGAGGGCCAGAGTCAGGAGCTTGCCCTGCCCAGGGAGATGCCCCGGCCTGGGAAGGTGTGGGGTCTGTCACAGGGGCTGAGACGGAGGGAGGTCAGCAGAGCCAGAGGCAGCTGAAGAGGTTGTAGATGATGGGGACCGAAGTGTAGCCATTAGCATCTGATAAGATGGAAACCACTGGGGAGCGATAAGGACGAGCCACAAGGATGGGGTGGGGCCCGTGACCCAATGATGAGTGGGCCTTCTCCACTACACTGGGGCCGACCTGGGCTGAGGGACTGTCCGCCTCATCTCAGTATCCCCCGCATCGTCAGGCATCAGGGCTGGCCCAGAGCAGGGGCTCAGCTTGGTGAGTAGTGGTTCACCCAGCCGACCATCCCACCCAGCCGGACAAGGGCACAGTGAAGGCATTCGGCCAGCCCTGCGAGTTAAGTCCCCGTGACTCTTGGTGTGGGAAGCTCAGGACTACCTACTAATTGTCCTGTCAGTGGAAATCTGCCCAACCCGGTGTCCACAGAACAGCCTCGCTACCTCAGGAGTCAGCGGCCAGCTACGCAAGTATACTGGGAAGCACCGGTGACTGGCCATTTCTGATTCTCTGGGGCCCCTGCCAGGGCCTGGGGGCCCACCGTGAGCTTGACCCCAACTCATCTGCACAGCCGCGGTGGAGGACCAGGCTGGCCCTGATGTTAAAACGGGCGAAAAGCTGAAGTCCAAGGAGCGTGGTGGTTCTGCTGAGATCGCGCAGTGAGTACCTGCGCCAGTCGGGATCGAACTTCTGTTCAAGACCAAAGCTGGCGTTCTTGCCGTTAAACCACACGGGCCAAAGGCGCTCAGCTCTGTGGTCTTACTTGGCACACCGCATGGCCACTGTGATGTTTCTCTGGCTGTCTCCTCGCTTACCTGGCTTCCACCTGGGGCCACCGGTCCCAGTTCTGGGCCTGGCCTGGAGGAGATGGAAGGCCGGCCGACTGGCTGAACTCGGTGTCAGAACTTGGACGATAAGATTCGAGGTGCACGGAAGAGCCCGAGCAGGTTAGCGAGGTTCCCAGCACGGTGGGGTCTCAGAGAGTGGCCTGCCCGCGGCGAAGGGGTAAATGTTTGGGGCAGCCTGGCTCAACGGGTGCCAAGGACCAAGCCGAGGGCCCGTACTGGAAATCCGTGGGAATGAGTTTTGGATGTCGCAGTGACTGGGGGTGTCCCCGGGCGTTCCCCAAGTGGGGTTATTTGAAAGGCATAGGGAACATTTGAGCGAACGGCAAGCCGAGGGCTCGGACCTAACTCCGCTCTATGTATAAACACAAATCGTATTTTTTGCATGGTTCTGCTACACCCCAGAGTTCCCAGGAATGTAACTGCTTTGTAAACTGGAGGAAGACCGTCCTTTGCGCAGAACGTGATTGAGACTGGTTCCCCATTTCAGAAAAATTATGTCACCAGCGGCAACCCTTCTCACGATGCCGGAGCGAGACCCGCACCTTGCCGAGCCTGCGTGCAGGCCCTTCTACTGTGTCTTCTTAGGGGAGCTGGCCCCGAGCATGAGCATAATGAAAGATGTAGTTTTGTTACAAATTGCTTTCCGTTCATTTCATTTCGGTTTTCTTCAGTGGCGTGCTGGAGCCAAGGCGCACGGCAGCACGTGGTGTGTATTTCTCCCCAGCTCCGAGTTCAGTGTCATCACGTCGGTAGTTTGAAATTAGCCGTGGTGGAGGTTTTTACACCATGGAACTTGGCAAAGGGTATAAATCAAGAGGTGTTCCCCCCCCACCCCACCCCCCTTCAGCGGTTTGATTTGTTAAACATTTACCAGCCCACCGCTGGTTACATTAGCTTTCTACATTGTACAGGGAAGGGAGGCAGGCTAAGTTATCTACGAAGACCATTTTG